TTTACAGATTTAGATTTGCACTTATGTTCTGAAATGTGATTCTTGCATTAGTTTATCAGTTCATATTTCAGTCTTTTTGTCGGTTCTTCTGGATGTGTTTCAAATTTTAACTTTGAACAAATCCTATTATTAAAACCTCAGTCATAATACTAGTCAGAAAAACTGCAATTTGATATTTTTCCGGATAGTACTTTTGTTAAATCCTCACCAGTACCTCATATCCCAGATATTAGATGAGCTTTTCCTTCTGCTCCTTACATGATGACTACAGGCCTCCTTGATCAGGTCTATTGAAATCCTGAATCGCACAAAAGGCAGATATGAGCCTAGAGGAATGCGTAGGTGTCGCGTGGGTGAAGGCAAAATCCACCACTGCTACACCAATCTCATCTCAAGCTAGTTTTCATTTGAGATTTAACCTTAACTAAAGAAGGAAGGGAAAAAAGAGGTATCGAAAATCACTTTACACAGTCTCGAGCCATGGCCCCCATAGCTCGCAAACCGAAGCCCGCGTATCCATGACAACAGATTCACTCTGAGCAAGTGAATGACTGCGAGAGGAAGAGGAGATAAGGAGATTTTCGATTCAATTTGCTGCAAACGGCTCCTTACTCTTCATGTAAATGGAATAAGTAGGTTACATTTGGTCACGCAACAGCAATGAGACCAGTGCGAAGGGCCAGCTATCATGTTGTAATGGTTAAGATGAGGACTCTATAGTACTAGGTGCAACTATTCACTTTATAGGTATAGTCCCCACTGAAGGAGCTCCAAGAAGATGTGGACTTTTAATACCTCTTTACTGGAGAAGGTATTTCCCTGTTGACACTTAAAGGGCCCATATTTTGCAGTTTTCTGATCTATTTTATAAAGTTGTTTCTTCATCAAAACTCAGAGTTGTCTTTTGTTTCATTCACACGTTTAACACACAAATCCTGCTGAACAGAAAACACTCTGTTCCACTTTGTGATGTTAATGTGGTAATACAGGAAGTCCTCCACTATGTCTTTAATTCCATGCATCTTCATTATAATTATTTGACTGTTTTCAGCCCTGGATTTGCCCATCTCTACTGAACAAAAACGTAAAAGGTAGCTGTTAACATGAACATGAACACCACAGCTTCATGACATCACAGGGTGTACCAGAGCATTTTGAGCTTTGGAGATATAGGCAGGCAGGCAGGCAAGTTTATTTGTATAACACAATTCATAAACAAACATAAATAATCATCATGAAATTAAAAAGAGACATTCATTTAGAGAAAAGAGTGCAGAATGAAAAATAAAAACCATTCAGTCATATGCACAGGTAAACAGAACTTTTTTTGAGCTTGGATTTAAACAGCGTCAAAGTAGAGGCCCGCCTAACATCTTCAGGAAGACTGTTCCAGGTTTTAGCTGCATGAACCTGAAATGCTGACTCCTCGTTTTTAGTCCTGACACTGGGCACCAGCAGGAGGCCAGTCCCTGAGGTCCTTAGAGTGTGACATGGTTCATATGGCACAAACATGTCAGAGATGTACTTTGGTACTAGGCCATGGAGAGACTTGTGCACAAGCAGAGCAGCTTTAAAGACTATTCTCTGAGATGCAGACAGACTAATAATTAATGTTTACTGAAACCCGTGAGTAAAACAAAAAACAACTCCAGGTATGCTTTTTAGGTAGTAACAACATTCTAACATGGCACAAAGCTCACAAGAACCAGTTGTGCATTATGTATGACTTTTAAGGGAACTGAATGCAGCCTGTGCTCTTAGAGTTTTAAAAAAAAGCTACAATAATGACTAAACCTGAGTTTCCAGTGCCTTCACCTGTATAGAGGACATACATTTTTTAAATAATTTGCAGTGTATGGACAGCGTACTGCAGAAGAAGAGGCGCTGATTAATGACTGGCTGCTGGTGCTGCAGGTGCAGGGGTTTAGTGACAATTCAGAGGCACTGATTAATGATCAATTGCTATACTGTAGACTGAATCAGTACAAAGCTATCTATGCTGTCTATACACTGTGAATGAGGAAAACTTGTATGTGTCCTCTATCTGGAAACTCGGGTCCAGTCGTGATTGTTTTTCTTTCTCAGTGTTACTACTAGAACACACAGACAAACTGAATCACTTTCTGTTTTGTAGGATCAAACTATAATTTACAGCTGACAAGAGCGCAGACTAGTTATTTTCCACTCTATCATACACTCTTTTGACAGTTTGGTAGTTCATTATTCTTCAAGCTTCATGCACTCACATTCTTGTGACTTTTCTAATCAGTGAATTAGTGACTCATATTGTACTGCACTGGGTGCTGGCTGTGACGGTCTATAATGCTGCAGTGGTTGAGCGGTCATTGTGTAACTGGGAGGTTTATGGTTTATTCCCAGCTCTGACCTTGTCTCCCTTACCTGTTAATGTAAAGTGTAAGTGTGGTAACTTTGTTCTAAATTTGAAAATAAGACTACTTCACATTAGAGTTGGGAGGTGTATCACAGAATGTATTATTGTCAAAAGATCGATAATTAGACCATTGAGTACAATATCTGTTTTAAAAAGACTGCAAAAACAGCTAAAACAACAGCAGAGACTTGCAGCTGAATGTTCCAAACAAGAGTATATTGATTCTTTGCAGTAACATCATACTGGGGGTGTTCTACATGCACACATGCACACATTGGCAAACACTGTCAGAAACGTTTTAAGATCTTCTAAAAACTCAGAATGGATTTAAATAACACATTTTCAGGAGCCTGTGATCAATATGAGGATTCATGATTCTTTTTAGGAGTTTGATTTTCAGCAAAAAATTGTCATTCCATTGGCTCAATTTTGTAATCTTTTCAATCACGAAAAAAAAAGTTCTGCACCTGAACATTCTCTTTTATCCTTTGTATATAAAGAAAGTGTGGATACCTTTTTAAATTACACTATACTGCACTACTAAGAAACCTTTTTGGGAGCCTTGAGAAAAAATACTTCATGAATAGTGGTTTGAAACTGAATAACAAGGTGAAGCAAGGCCACTGAGGACTTTAAAAGCAAACATTGAAATGATGAAAGTTAATGCAAGGAAGAAATATTAGGGTTTTTGTATTTCCTATGGATCATTATTTTGTTTTATATTGTTTTTTTCTTTATATATTGTAGTATTGATTTACTTCTGGTTCAAAATTTTAGAACTAATAAACCATACCCCCTCACAGTGGCATTTCACCATAGAAAGTAGCAGATTTTCATTTACATGTTTTTATTGTTGAAATGTTTCCAAGCACTCAAGCCTTGAATGCAAAGGACAATACTTTATTAGTCAAATATGCCTTGACATGGCAAATCCAGAATAATATCTCTGTATTTTTTTATACAAGTTGATATCAGTTTCAGTCCCCACGCCCTCTGCTGTGTCTCGAGCTCAGGCAAACGTGATCGATCCAATCAGATATGTTTTTTATATTTTTTTTCAGCGATGTCTGTGAAATAAAGGAGCTCACTGGTCACCTATCATTTACAAACAAAAACAAATTCATCTCAACTCAGATTGATGTTTTTTCCTTTACTTTTTCCGATACAACTGAACATTTGTGTCTCTGATTGGCTAATCCACCTGTCAATCAGAAACAGGGAGATTCACCGGTCACCAGACTCACATCACAGTTCGTCAAGTATTGAAGAAGTGTTTATTCTGGATCCCAGGCAGCAAATATTCATGAATCAATTTGAATACAACTCCAGTTAAGCTCAGGGAGAAAGCAGCGTTATAAAATGGTGAAAAGCTCATAAAGGTGATTGTAAACAGTATGTCCTCTTTTAATAAAAACGATAAATGAGAAGCAATTCATTAACATATAATTGAAATAGCTGTGATGGTGCAGCAGGAGCTAGTGAAAGGAGGAGTGGAGGAGAGATGCAGTTGTGTCTGGATGCCTCACACTGCTCTCGGTATTGACCCTGTGATCGAGTTCTGTCCCTGGTCCAGCTCTCAGCCTCCTCTGCCTGCACATGTTTGACTGGACACAGCTCTGTTGTGAAAAGAATCACTCCGACACCTCCCACGCATTTGTACCTGCCCGTGTCTAAAGGCAACGCAGTAACACTTTTCCACTCATAACTTGTAGTGCTGAGAAAATACAAGCTACATGACTCTCAAAACTGATAATTTTACGAGTTTCGCAATATACTGGCATATTATAACAACTGAAAATGGTTTGAAATAATCCTCTTAACCTTACGATCTTGAGAATGCCTCGTCTTGTCGTCTTGGCACAGCAGGGGCAAGTTGGAAAGCAACAAAGCAGTTTTCTCATAATTCGATGTGTATCTCAATACATGGGTCAAAATATCAATATGAGGCTGATACGTTTTATGTCTTTTATGTTGTTATATTATTTTTATTCTAATGATATGAAATGATCGTGACATTTCATTATGGTGCACTATGTAACTTTTTAGTTGGGGGTCTGTCACCTCCTTGTTTCTGTGATATGTCCTTGCTCTGCCAGGAATGATTCACAATGTGACAACAGCTCTACTTTGCATTTATTCAATTTCAGGTGGTTTTATAGCTCATAAATACCTAGAAAAACAAGCATTCTAATTGTAACTCCACAGATCTAACCAGTAACTTGGTCAGGTGGTCAATGAAGATGGAAAGGTTTAATACTATATTGTGAAACACTTCAGACAAAGCAAAACATTGCCATGGAAATTGGTCCACAAACTACTGGGTCAATTTGAACCTTACAGCGGGAGTATTTTAAGATGGATTCTCGTTGCTGAACTTACAAATATCACAAGAATCCACCTTGCTGGTTAATAATCAAAGTCGTGCACTATCCTGACTAAATAAACTAATGATAATCCCAGCCTGCAGAATGTCAAAACCTGTGCCGCTCTTAATCTGTCAATCTTTAAAATTTCATAGCTGGGTTGGTGCAGACTATTTACTGATAAAGTGATGGTTTTCTTATCTGAACTGGAATCAAATGTTGACTCTTCCTGTTTGTGTGTTTAGGTGGAGGAGGTGGTGGACGTGGGGACTTTTGCTGCAGAAGATATCCACATCCCCAGTATCTACGTGCACAGGGTCGTCCAGGGAGGCAGCTACGAGAAGAGGATTGAGGTACGAACTATAACTGCCAAACTGTGTTACTTTGCATTTTACCATTTTAAACTGACCACAGACTCACCAGATTATCACAACACAAAACACTTGGATAAAACCTTTTTAGACTTGATTTCTTAAAGGTGCACTGTGTCACTTTTCTGTTGCAGGTATGCCATCTTCTTGTCTCTGTCTCGAGCTTAAAGGTCCTATAATATGCTTTAAACCATGTTATAATGTTGTTACTTTATCAAAAACATACCTGGATTTGTGTTTTGTTTCATTCACACGTTTGCTTAACCTTTTATTATTAATTTGTTTACATCTCCAAAGATCAAAATCCTCTGTTCCAGCTTGTGTGTTTCCAAGATAACAGTAAACCTTTACCTTTTAGTTTAGCAAAGATTGGCAAATAAAGGGCTGAAATTTCTCAAATGATTCTTGTGAATGTGGAGCACTTCCTGTATTACCACATAACATCACAAAGTAGAACAGTGTTTTCTGTTTAAGAGAACTCATCCTAAATATGCAGGATTTGTGTGTTAAACCTGTGTGAATGAAACAGAACACAACTCTAGATATGTTTTTGATGAGGAAACAACATTATAACGTAGATCAGAAAACAGCATAATACGGGTCCTTTAAGAATATTGCTTATATTGGTCAGCTACTTCATCCACAAAGTAGAAAGTAGTGCTTTTGAGACTCCAGACAAGCAAGCGCATGAAATTGTTCAAATTAAAGCTAAGCCATTTGCAACAGCTCCGACCCGCTTGGTATCGACACCCCAGACTTGTGAATTACTCCAATCTCCAGGGACAGGCCAGTGTCTAGACAGGCAGTCTGACCGAAATTGGGGCCAAAATCTGTGAAAAAAAACTACTTGGAGCAGACAGAGCAGGTGCATGTACTGATGCTATCTTTGCCATGTTGACTTTGAATCAATAGAGTTTTCAGTTCCTTATGTACATCGAAGCTTGGCAGAGAATATCTCCAGAGTTTCTGTCAGTCTTTGCCTGATATGAGCCATCTGTGTGTTTTGGTTTCAGAAACGCACAGTCAAGAAAAGTCAGGCGGAAAAACCCAAACCAAAGAAGGACTCTGATATTGTTCGAGAGAGGATCATTCGCCGAGCTGCCCTGGAGTTTGAAGATGGAATGTATGGTATCCTTTTATTGGAAATATATATCATAATTATTAAATACCCTTTCAAATTATTCTGTATGTAAATAGACAATTACTATTTACAGGTAGAGTTTGCCACAGCCTCAAATAGTTTAATACCCTTTCTGTCTGGTCTCATTACACTACTTTTTTCAATTGTGCCAGTAAATGAGAATTTTTGAAGTTATGGAGGTAAGATTAACACGATTCTAAATGCAACAATATGACAGTAGCTAGTTTGTAGAGTGTTTGTCCACTGATCCGGAAGTTGACGGTTCAGATCCCGCTCTCAACATGAAAACATCATTGGTTGATCAGTTGCCAGTGTGATTCCAGCTCCTACAGATGACACTTGACCCACCACGCCCTCGGAGTCTGTGTACACTGGTGTGTGTGGGGGTGTGTGTGTGTGTGGGGGTGTGTGTGTGTATGCGTGTGTGTGTAAAAATGTGAGTGATTCCTTGATGTAAAGTGCTTTTTAGTGCTTTCAAGGTTGCACTATATAGAAATGTGACTATTTATCATTTACCATGATGTAGGAAGATATGTTTTTGTCCTATTTATGTTATGTTTTTTTTTTATTCAGTATCAATACTTGATCATATGAGTTTTTTTAGCATTAATACAATTTGTATTTTTATTTTGCAAGCCTAAACTCTACATACTAACATTAGTTTTTAGTATCTTTATGGTACAAACGGGACCCAGATTAGTGTAATATTTGTTTTACTAATTATGATTATTATGATTCCTCCATGCAGATTTTCACAAATATTTTTGGATTAATCTCTGATAACTGATATCTTGTTATCACACTATTCTAATTTTTGTCTGATTTTTGCACCACGCTGCACCACTTTTTTTTGCTTTTGATTTGAACTGCAGCCATTTTCTGCTAATATTTAAAACACAGCGTATTTCTTCTTTGACCAGTGAGTGATTGCCTTCATCTCTGTATTCTCAGTCAGTCATATGTTGGACATTAGTCAAAAAAAACATGGCCATCTTTCCTGTACATTTTCCAACACGTTAATGACTAGTTGTAGCTTGAACTCTGCTGATTGCGCTGACAAATTACAGTGTGAACATATAATTAATTTGAATTTGCATGTCCATGATTTTCTGGTGGCGTTTGTCCTTCTCATGCTTTTGGGCGCCTGATTTATCATTAACGACTCACTGCTCTCACATTGTGTTAATATTCGGCGTGACACATTTGTAATTTCTTGATAATTATGTGGTACCAAGGCAGCACTGGTCCAGCGAGATCTCTGAGGTGGTTAACTAAGAGCTTGTGCAATGTTTGTGTCTATAATTTTGACTCTATTCCATTAGTTGTTATTATCCTTAACGCTTTTTTCCAGCCAATCTTGGTATAGGAATTCCAATGCTGGCCAGCAATTTTATCAAATCAGACATCACAGTTCATCTCCAAAGTGAGAATGGCATTTTGGGACTGGTAAGAGACATGCTATTCTTTTACATAATCTAATAAATTGTTGTTTTATTGTTAAAGGGCCCATATTCTACTGTTGTCTGATCTATAGTATGTTATAATCTTGTTTCCTCATCATAAACGTACATGGAGTTGTGTTTTATTTCATTCACACATGTTTAACACACAAAACCTTCAGATTTAGGTGGAGTTCTTCTCTCAAACTTTTCTTTGTGATGTCAAGTGCTAATACATGAAGTGCTCCTGTGTGTTTAAACACCATATACCTTTACTGCAATCATGCAGATGATTTCAGCCAGTCTCTACTGAACTAAAAGTAATCGTAGCTGTTAACTTGAAAACTACCGCTGCATGAGATAATGCCGAACTTTGGAAGTGTAGACAGCGTGTGTAATCATGCAGGATTACTCAAACATGTGTGAATGAAACAAAACACTAATTCAGGTTTGTTTTTGAGGAGATGACAGCTCACAAGAGTCAATTTTGCGTAATATAGGACCTTTAAATGCTAGAACTGCAAATGATCTCACGTAACACTAAACCAGAAACCATAATATTATCAATGAGCATCTTAATTTAGATCCACTCTGTTGTTATGTAAAACTGGTGACACTTTATGATATGATGTATTTTCAAATTTCCCGTGTCTTTCTATTTACCTTTGTTTACCATGAGGGAGTAACAAAAGATTGGCAATATTACATAATAACTTTTCCAATTGTTCGTGTTGACAGGAGAGTGGCCTATGCTAATGCTGTATTTGTCAAAGTTTTTTTTAATTACAGGTAGCAGGTTTACCGACCATCTGTCTCCCTGGTCCTCTCCACTCTCCTCACTGCCTTTTGTTCAGCAGAGAAAATCAATGTCTCATCTAATCGCAGAGATTGTGTCTGTCTGTAACTTGAAAAATGGCAGCCGCTCAGATTGAGTGACATCTGTGAGAGGGTGTAGTGTTTTCTGTTTTGATTTTTGTTTTTTGTTGTTATACAGGGCCCATACCCCACAGAAGAAGAGGTGGATGCAGATCTGATCAATGCAGGTGAGCCAGCTGTTAACATTCATATATGGTAATACATGCATTTGGGTTGTCAGAAATTCAATAGCCACTACCCAGATAATTGGAACTAATTGTGTTGCCATAATACTAAAATTTTTAACTCGATTTCGATGCTAAGGAATTGACTCGATCCTCAGTAGGGTTTCCAATACCACAATGATAATTTTAAAAAAAACTTGTTCTGATACAGCTCAAAACCATTATGAAGCTATTCAGGAAAGGTTAATTTCTATTATGAATAAAATAAAATGTTATATTGGGAAGAAAAAAAAAAATCTATGGGACATTCTGGGTTTGAGCTTCATGTTAAAAGTATTATTGAAGACTTTTCACATTCAAAGGATTTTGTCTTTTATTGTTAATTGCTATGGCAAAGGTCCTAATTTGTCATCATTCAAAGCCCATGGATAACATCTCAATGGCGGCTCAACCAGAAAAGTTACAGTGCACTTTTAAAGGTCCTGTATTATACCAAATTGACTATTGAGAACTTTAAGTCCTGTTATAATGTTGTTACTTGATCAAAAACATACCTGGAGTTTCGTTTTGCTTCAATCACACATGGTTGAGTTCCTTTATTATTAGTCTGTCTACATCTCCACAATTCAAAATGCTCTCTTTCAAGTTAACAGCTGTCTTTTAACTTTAGTTCAACAGATTGACAGAGATGACAGTTCCAGGGCTGAGATTATCCAAATGATTCTATTGAAGGTGTATGGAGTTTGAAAACACATCAGAGTTTGAAACACATCAGAGTTTGAAAACACAGTGGAGCACTTCCTGTAATACCATATCATACATTAGAACAGAATGTTTTCAGTTTGAGAGAAGAGCTCAGCCTGAATATACAACTCCAGGTATGTTTTAGATGAGGAAACAACATTATAACACAGAAAATAGTGTAATATAGGCCCTTTCAATTTCATTCTCCCAACGTACCATATCCTGTAAATGCGCAGTATGTGACCTTAAGTGTTATGTATTTGCTGGAGCACTGTTTGTTCAAAGACATCTTGAGGTCCATCTTGACACTGTCCTTGTCCCACAGGGAAGGAGACTGTGACTGTGCTCCCTGGTGCTGCTTACTTCTCCAGTGACGAGTCCTTCGCCATGATCCGAGGGTGAGATTATACTGCTATTACAAATATGAGGTTTTCATGTTTTTAATTAATTACTTGATTTGGTGGGATCGTATCTGTGGTAATTATTTATCATAGTTTTATCAGTAAAGTGGCAGTTTGTGGAAAAAGTTGAGAAGAAAAGCATGAAAAGAAAGGAAGGAACGATGTTCTAAAACAAAATACTTCTACCTATGTCACCAACGTTGAAAATTTCATCCAGACAATTTACGCTCAAGGTTTCTGACAGTTTAAACATTCATTTAACAAAGTAAAGGTGATGTTGTTTATTTTTATTAATCTAATCACAACTATTGAGCAATTTAGACAAGTTAACAGGTAACAGTTATTGAATTACCTCTATGTATCTCAATTACCTGTGTATTTGCTGCCCACGTCCAACCAGAAAGTAAAATTATAAACTTCACCAAAAATTAAATATGATAAATGATAGTCTATATTGTCATATGCACTTTAAAGGGCACATATTATGTTATTTTCTGATATATGCTATTATTTTGTTATACCAGAGTTTTATTTTGTTTCATTCACATAAATTAAATTAAACACACAAATCTTACATATTTAAGATGAGTTCTTCTCTCAAACGTAATACAGAACCTTTAATCTTTCTCACTTTAAGATCTGAAGTATAAAGTGATTTACGACACAAATAAACTGCAAAGACCTTCTCCGGATGTTAGAAAACCATCTCCGAAATCACCCACACAGCTGCCTGTCCATAACCATAAACCAGGATTTCACCGCAAGACACAGCCACAATTTGTAGCCCTGGATAATGGCTTATGTCACCAGTGAAAGTAGACAGGGGTTGTGCCAATATTCGCGGGCGCTGAGGTCTATTGATCTGCTCGCTGTCTGAGATGGGCCCACCAGCGCTTCCTACAGCGTCAGTTGTGTTTGTCCACCCAGTAGAAATCCAATAGGGCTCATAAATAGCTCTGTTCAAGCTCTGAGGGACTAAATGGGACCACGCTGGCTCTGCTCTTGCATGAGGTCAGAGGATGTATTAGAGGAGGGAGATGTATTGAAAAATTGGTAATATCACAGTTGTTGTTATGGAGATACAAATTTGCCTGGGGGTGTGACGCTAACTGTAGGCATGCTCTGTCTGAAGCTCTGTTCCTCAAGTTTGATTTTAAAACCACTTACCATCCACCCGCCCGCCGGCGGGCGATTTTCCAAAAAAAAAAGTTCACTCTGTATTTTCACCTTCATTATTGTTTTCACTACTGGCATGCCATACATCGTTTGAAAGCTTAATTTCTCAATAAAACAACCATATCATTCATTTTATGCCATACAACGAGCCCAAAACGCTATAACTTAAAAATTCACATCATAATCAAAGAATAAAATACGCATTTCTTACCTTTGAGCCGGTTCTGTCGGTCCAAAACGCGTTCAATCCATGAAAAGTTGTACTCAATAAGTCCGTAATAATTCACAGAAAAAGAATATCAAGTTGTTTTTTCCATAAAATAATTCCATGTGGGGAAATAATCCAAAAAACCCTCGTCCGTATGAATCGATGGATACAATGATATGAAAAAAAGTTTCTCTTCTCTCCCTCCCTCCACTGCGTTTCTAGCAGGTTTGCTAGCACTGTTGGGTACGGTTGTTTTCCTCACACTCTTAGCTTCAAAATGAGACCCTCCCCGCTGTTGTCGGTGCCGTGGTTTAGCTGGGACAAGCCGCTGAAGAAGCTAACGCACCCATCTACTTCCTGGCTTTACGCACGCGTCATCAGTTTGTTTACGAGAAATCTCTTCAGTCATTGGATCTTCCAGAAAGTGACTGACATATTGTTTTAGCCTATCACCAGAGCTTTCAAACGGTGGGTGGGACATTCAGATAGTATTTGAAATGGACCCTGTGTTTATAAGCGTAAGAGCGAGGGAGACAGGGAGCAGTGCGGGCGGTGCCATAGAAGGCAGATCTTCCACTTGGAGGACAATTTTGGCTACTTTTAGTTTTTTTTTCTTGAGAAAACATGCCTAAAGCTCAGAAGAATTAGTATTATAATAATAACAATTATTATTATTTTTATATTATTATTATTTTGGCACAAATTTGGCAATCTTGTGCCGAATTGTCATTTTGTATACACAAAGGCTCACAGCATCAAAACCCTTTGTCCTAGAGATCTGAAATTCTACACAGTTGTTGCCAACAACTTGAACAATGAGTGTAGTGAGTCACAAATGCCTAGCATGAAGTATGCCCAAGCTAAGGCCTTTATTTTTTTCTATTTTTTTTTTTCGAAGCAAAAAAATACAATTTTGTTTTCAATTTTAATTGACTGTACTGTAGGTTAGGCAGCACTCACAATCTTCATATACATATCTACAGAAACTAGAAGGCCTAAGCTTTAAAATGGTGCCTCACACAAGCATGTGGGTTCTAAGGTTTTCTTTTAATAAGCTATGGCATTTGGGTATGTAGTGCTATTGTGCACACACCAAAATGAGGTGGGTGGTAACAGGTTAATCTGAGCTTTGTTTTAACACAATTTGACCATGAACAGGACCATGAACACTCATATTGCTCACAGGCTCCTGAAAATGTGTTGTTTCAATCCAATTTTTGTACTCTTTCTTGACTTCTTCTGAGCATTCTGCCATTTACACATACATATAAAATACCTCCAGCATAATGCCACTGCAAATTATCAATATTGTCTATAATTAATATGAAATTGAAAGCAAAAAGAACTTATTAGAATGAACAGAAAGGTCTCTAATGTAATCGCCCATACAAGGGTATAAAGTTGTATTTTGTCTTTTGTGGTTTATGATCCCTTCACTTTGTACCATACTTTTGTACATTCTTATTTCAGAGTGTCTAGTTATTGTGTATATGTTTTCTTTTTTTGCACTACTGGGAAATTTGTGGTTATTTTTTAGCCATATGATAAGATTTGAGCCGTCAGAGGTTGAATTAACTTCTTTGATCCATTCCAGATACAAACACAAAAACATTATTGTGATTTAAATCTGATATTTTTTAAAACAATCAAAAACAAGCTTCAAAATTTGTTATGATGACAGGCCTAATTTTACACAGAAGCAAGAGCATGACTTTGAAAACTTCTTTAGACAAATTGTTTATTCACCGTCATCGCTTAAACTCCACTGAGGAAAGGAAAGCCATTTGTGGATATATTAGATTTGAAGGTGTTGACAGTCGCAGAATCCCCCATCGTATTTCACCAGGTAATATATACAGTGTTTGAAAGTAGCAGGCTGTGTAAATGACTACGAGCTAATCAAAATGCTAATTAGCCTAATGAGACATAGCTTGTTTGGAAGTGGTCATGATTTTAGCTGTAACAGATGGGAAGACGACTTTATTGTGAAAACTGTGAATTGGAAACGTTATTATGTTGTTCTCTTCATCACAAACATAGCTGGAGTTGTGTTTTGATTCATTCACGCATGTATGACCCATAAATCCTGCATATTTAGGCATTTATTTGAAATACTACTACTAACTACTACTTGTACTACTACTACTACTACCACCACCACCACATAATAATAATAATGCATCAGCCTGACTAAGTGTCCAGAAATGCGCTACATAAAACTTTGAAAATTTTGTTGAGTGTTCATATCTTAGATAGAAAACAACTTGTGAGGTCATGTGGTAAAATAGGCACTGCTCCACTGTGCTTTTAAACTCCATACACCTTTACTAGAATCATTTGGATAATTTCAGCCCTAGAATTGCCAGTCTACTGAACAAAAGCTAAAAAGTAGCTGTTAACTTGAAAACTACTTTCAGCTTCATGACATCACAAAGTGGAACAGAGCATATTGAGATTTGGACATGTAGACAGACTAATAATAAAGGCTTACTCAAACATGTGCGAATGAAACAAAACACAACGCCAGGTATGTTTTTGATGACGTAAAAACATTCTAACATGGCTTAAAGTTTACATAAGTAAATTTTTCATAACAGAGACCCTTTGATGTTAAAATTTAACAATGTTGGGTCTGTATAACTCTATGAGAGATTCACAATTTTTGAAAGAAATATCCAAAATTATGATCCAGAAATGCTGAACTAATCATTATTTGTTCACAAACATGCCATATTAATCTTCTTTGAAAGTCCATTAAATCCAAAAATCCAGTCTTTGGAATTGAATTATGGCGCCTCTTCTGAAGTTATTGTGATAAAATTATTTCAATTTTGTTTGTTTATGCTGGCAGAAAAGACATTAAACCTTTTTTCCAGGTTTTGTTTCATGTGGTGCAGTAATTACAGAGCTTTTAACCATAAACCACATCAACAAATCTGCAATCTGACTTTTAAAAATGGTAAATTCCACCATAGATTTCTGACCTGTCCTCCAGCTCCATTTCTAATAATAGGGATTCTGCAGTGATATGATGTCATGTGAACGCAACTTATTGTGTGCCTCTTCTAACCTACTTTTTTGAGATTTATTTGCTCAAAAAACTGACAGCTGTCTTCATATTCTGTCCTTGTTGTTCGCAGGGGTCACGTCAACTTGACAATGCTGGGAGCTATGCAGGTTTCAAAATACGGAGACCTTGCCAACTGGATGATACCGGTAAGTTATAAAGACAGGCCGAGCTCTGGGATGGAGAAAGGGGAATTGATAGTGACGAAGATGGATAGGATTAGCAATGAATGAGTATGTTACAACAGCAACTCAGATTAAGTGTTTAGGGCAGGACATACTAAGATGGCTGTGCTGAGGATGCAGGATAAAAATATGTTAGACTGACAGAAAAAATTGCTCAATAGTGGAATTTAAAGTTGTATTTCTACACATTCATATAAGCACTAGTAGATGTTTATTTTCAATGAGTATTATATTTAGTATTAAATGAATGTTTGTTTATATAACCTCAAACAATACCTGGTTTACAGAACAGTTGCCTGAATTACACTTTTTCAGTAACTAAGGCCCCATCCAAACTAGTACCTATTTGAGTCGTTTTCATTGTGGATGCAGTGTTCGTCCACACTAATCCAATGGAAAATAGCTCCAGAGACGGAACAATCTGGTGCTGCCAGCTCCCACGAATTCATCTTTGTACAGATCTGATCCAGCACTGTGATCGCCTGAAAACGCTGATATGCTGACGTACGTCTATGCACTGTGAAGTAATTCACCGCCAAACACTAAGAGGCTAGAATATATGTCCATATATATATATCGTCTACGCATATGACCTGCAGACGTATACTCTCTGAAAAGTTAAATATGAACCATTTCCAATGCGATGGAAGCACAGAACAGACTCACCGTTAGCAGAACCCCCCTCTTTTACAGAAAGAACACATGTATTCCACTGAGTCGTGTCCTTTAGTCCTACAGAAGCTGAACGGCATCAGTGCACAATAGCGAGCTGTTATTTGAGCGCTTAGTTTATACAAATTAGCCATGCAGTTTTAAGTTTCGTTTCTGTAAAATTAAACAATTATGCGCTAACCTGTGTGGACAGGGATGTCTTGCGGACACAGAAACAACGTATCTGGACGCAAATAGTTTCCGATACAGTGATATGGTGACACAGTGATTCGTTACCTGTGACCTAAGTCAGTGTCCAAAATATGTAAACAGATTCAATATAGAACCTTTAATTCATTCAGTAACACTGTTACTGCATCAAAAATATACCAGGAGTTGTGTTTAGTTTTTTTCATTTACACGTTTGGTTATCGTTTATTGTATGTCTGTCTACATGCACAAAGCTCACAATGACCATGTAGTGGTAGTTTTCAAGTTAACAGCTACCTTTTTACCTTTTCTTCATTCGAGATTCACAATTCCATGTCTGAAATTATCCAAATGATTCTACTGAAGGTATATGGAGTGTAAAAACACAGTGGAGTGCTTCCTGTGTTATCACATGACATCACAAGATGGAACAGAGTGTTTTCTGTTTGAGAACTCAGCACTCAGCCTAAATATGCAGGGTTTGTGTGTTAAACATGTGTGAATGAAACAAAACACAACTACGGGTATGTCTGCAACAGAGGTGGGGACTTGCAAGTCGTGACTTGGACTTGAGTCAGACTTGAGTCTCCATTTTTAGGACTTGAGACTTGACTTGATAAAATGGACTAAAACTTGGGACTCGACTCAGACTTGAAGGTCAATGACTTGGAACTTGACTCGGACTTGAGGTCTGTGACTTGAGAAGACTTGAGAAGCACTTTTAAATCTGAATTATTTCTGTTCTGACCGTAATAATTCACACTAACATCTTGTCAAGACATATTAAAAGAAAAAAAAAATTTAATTAATTTCTACAACTCTTGTATACTCTAGAAATACTCCTATATAAATATACAGTGACCTTTTAAGTACAATTTAGTTTAAAATTCATAAAGACTTGAAATGACTTGAAACTTGAAAGCAGACGACTTGACTTGGACTTATGAGCCAGTGACTCGAGACTCGATTTGGACTTCCCTTATTTGACTTGGGACTTGACTTGGACTTGAGGTCAAAGACTTGAGACTTACTTGAGACTTGCAAAATAAAGGCTTGGTCCCACCTCTGGTTTGCCACGAGGAAAAAGCATTATAACATAGATCAGAAAATTGCATAATATGGGCACTTTAATTGCTATGGCAACAGTAATAATTTCTCATGGATTGACATAAAGATTGGACTAATGTGCTATACACTGTAGTCTGTAGTGGATGATTGCTTGGCCCAGGATCTGCAACCTTCTGGCACTGAATGATGGCTATTTATACTCTCTTCATTTTCTATAGAGAAGCCATTATGTTAATAGCTTGTTTCTTTACACAGGAGACAGAGCAGTGTCTTAATTCTCCACATTAATCCAAAGGAAATGCCATCCACGTACAGATGCTATCTTGTCCATTTCAGCGCGTCAAGAGCCGTCTGTCACTTTGAGAGATTATGGCTAATGTCTAATTTGTATGCGCTGTATGCTAATAGGGTGACATGTTGTTGCTAGATATTAAACCAGGTCAATTAGACGTAAGGGCACACAAGACTTCTAAGGTCAAGAATCCATTTAACAGCAGTTAGCGTGTGGGAGGCTTAATGCTGCAATATGTATATTTTTTGTTTCTGGCATAGCTCTCTTGTCACCAGCTCTAATGCGCGTTAATGCAAATATGTTATGCAATGTAATAAATGGATGTAAAAAAAAAAAAAAAAAAAAAACTACTGCCATTACTGGAAAAATGCTATTCTAAACATCTCATTAATTAATGTCTTAACATGTGTTTGTGCTACCTTTTAAACTGCCATGCATATATTATTTTCTATGACAAGTGTAAGAATGCTCATTTGCGGTGGAAGTGTCAAAGAGGACCATGAATCTGTAAAGAAAATGTAAAGTCACAAGGATCTATGGAGTGTTACATCGATTCTGTGACAGTGTGGCTAGGCAAAAAGTGAGCAGCATAGAAAGGAAAGGACAGACAGGAGAGCATTGAGATGTGTGTGTTTACCGTTTTTATAGTCTGTATCTGTATCTGTGTGTGCGTCTCTTCTGGTCAGCATGGCTTTATCTCCATGAGTTCTCATGCAAAAGCAGGACCACGAGAACTCGCTGTCCTGTCCTTGACTCCAAACAACAATGCATTCTCTGTGTGTGCAACTTACTCTTATTCACCGGTATTAACGCTAGCATTAGTACATTGAGATAAAAGTGTAATATTAAAGCACATTGCTAAATATACAAGTAAATTACCAATTAAAAGATTAAAAACTACTTCGCATAGTTACCTACATCACTCCAAATGTTATGTTTTAGGACTAGGGTTGTAAAAAAATCTATACCCAGATACCGATCCAAAATAAAACTGGTATCGAAACTAGGCTTGTCAGAAGTATCGAATATCAGCTATTAATCGATACTAAAACTGGCATCGAAACTAGATACTCATTTGAGCAGGTATTAATGCTAAAAAAGTCACATTTACAGGACATAAATGCACCTTGAATAGCTTTAGAATGATCTTGAAGAATCAGAACAGGACCACATAGACTAAAACTGACATTCTATTAATAATAACATAAATAATTACAACTGAATTTGACTTTTTCGGAATAGTTTTCGAATGGTCTTGATCTGTATCAGAACACGTATAAAACTACTTGGTAATATTAAAGAAATTGCAGTAATTTTGCATTGAAAGTTACATACTGTTGTGTTAAAATCTGTTCATAATCACTGTAGTACTGGAATTGGTATTGAGTATCAAGTCTTTTCCTTGTTATGAATGTCATGAGTTTGAAAATTGTAGCATTGTGAAAACTCTACTTAGCACAGTCAATATCGAATTTGAGTATTCTTTAAAAATATTACCCTTCCATAAATATCACATTTTTACATCTTTATTTTGAATTAACACACGCACGCTTCACTTGACAAGTCAGTTTCAGCACTGGGAGATCCCTAAAGTACTATCTTGTATTTATTTTTTACATTTAGATCAAAACGAGCAGGTTTCTCCATGTTTTTTTTTTTGAGTTCTACTGTGAATTTTTGTTAGCGCGGCTCCTCCAGATTGATATAAAACTGATGTGGAGTCTGGACATCAAAAAGTCATGGGGTACTTAATGAGAGTGGGTTTGTCTGTTGCTGCACCTAGACATTTTCACTACCTTTTAATTATACATCCTCTTCACTATTCAATTAGCTCTGGTTGTTTAGTGGGTTTAGTCTGATTGCTAATTAACGTGTGCTTGACGGAGAACATTTTGTAGTTATTTTTAATACCTGCTGTTGTGCTTTTTGCTCCAAGGCAATAATGAGTAGTAGATGCAGACTTTTTAATACAAAAAGTTTGTGAAATATGCCTGCAAACATGATATAACAAACAAATGAACAGTGCAGAGTTGGTTGTGTTGCATTGATGGAGTTGAAGTTTTTGTTCAAAGTGGAAACTGATCAAGGTAAATGGGAAGTGCACGTCTTGCAGTTTTGAGAAGGGAAAGCATTGTACGCAGAATGGTAAGACTACATTCACTATTTAATTAGATAAGCATAACATAACAGTTATTTATACCTGGAGAGAGAAGAATTAGTATTAAGACATTGATGAAGGACTGTGAACTGTGAAGGGAACGATGAGAGGATGAGGAGAGTGAAGGAGACGATGAGATAATGAGGAGAGTGAAGGGGACGATGTGAGGATGAGGAGAGTGGAGACAATGAGAGGATGAGGAGAGTGAAGGGGATGATGAGAGGATGAGGAGAGTGAAGGAGACACTGGGATGATGAGGAGAGTGAAGTAGACAATGGGATGAGAAGAGTAAAGACGACGATGAGGAGAGTGAGGAGAAGATGAGAGGATAAGGAGAGTTAAGGAGACGATGAGAGGATGAGGAGAGTGAAAGGGACAATGAGAGGATGAGGAGAGTGAAGGGGACGATGAAAGGATGAGAGAGCAGGTCAATTCCGGAGAGGTTCTGAAGTTAGGTCTTCCAGGCTGAATTTACTCTAGCTCCATTTTAACACTTAAAAGTTTAAAAACATATAAAATATGTCTATTTATAATACATAGGACTGAATACCACAAATAATACCTAGTTCATGCTATAGGTACTTC